GGAGGCACCGGGGCGCCTCCGTTTTGTGTCAGTAATTTGCGGCGGAGGAAGAGGGAAGACGAAACAGCCAACGCCGAAGGGGCCTTGGGGGAGGCTGGGGAATCGTTAGTGCGCCAGGAGCGGCCTCGGCTCCTAATTGGAAGCATTGGGCATTATCAACGGAGGATTTGCCTCGGCTCCCTGACAGCTCTCTAGGCCTGGAATGATAGCCCACTTGTCAGTGTAAAAGACCATTAAAAACAAACCATTTTGATTTAATTGGAGGCGGTGTGCTGGGGGCCCAGGTGAGGCGCTTCATCAGCCGATGTTGGCTGCTGATGCCTTTTTCCCCCTGTATTGATGGCTTTTTTCTTTTCCTCCCCTCCCTTTCAAAACCTGTCTAGGAAAGAGAAAGAGGTGCTGAAAGATCCTTCACAGCCGCATCGAGAGCGCCTTTCAATAGGGTTGTCAACAAATGCCATGACAAGTTAGAGAGAGGCAGGTACTTTTAAAACAGACGTTATTCTGTCCAAGATGAGCTGTGCTCAGAGGTGAGTGTTGGATTATTAGGGTTACAAATGCTGTGGCTTTTCCTGCCACTGGCACGCTTAACTGGCCTAATGAATGGGGTTGATTTTTCCTCTCCCCACCTTTCTAAGAACAGAGGGGAATGCAGGACAAGGGAGCCTGGGCTAAATGATCCTCATTTGCTTCAAGGCCAGGAAGGTTTCAAACAGTGCTCAGCGATTTTTGGCTGCTGTATTTTAACGTCCCATGGAGATTTGGGATTTTTTTTTTTTTTTTTCTCTTCCTGAAAATAATGTCCACAGATATTTGCTGGAGTTCACTGGTCAGTCGGTCTGGGCAATAGTATGAGGAAAGGAGAATTAACCTACTGGAGCTGTAACCTGGTGTGTGCCCCTGGTGTTTTGGGGTCAGACCAGAGCTGGCAGCTCTCACACTGACCTCGTGTGCTTGAGATCTGAATCCTGACCCTTTTCATGCCAGGCAAGAGTTTTACTTAAAGTTGTCTGTTGATAAATAGCATCTCTGCAGAAGTCAGAACAGGTCCACGAATGAAATCCCAAATCCATTTAAGAAGTGCTTCTGTGGGTCTGTGTAGGAAGTAGGTAGCACTGAAAGCAATGGTAGGTGCTCACCTGTAACCCAACACTGTGTGTGTGGTTTTACTCTGCTACAAGCCACGAAGCTGTGAGCCCCCCAAAATCTCTCCCTTCACAGGGGAATATCTATCTGCATTACAGCAATGGGAATTGGATGCCAAGAGTTCCCTGTGCTGCCTTTGGATGTTTGGGGCTTGGATGTAGGTGGAGCCTGCCCTGGAGAGGGTCCAGGCTGTAAGGCTGCACAAGGAGGGGGGTGTTTGGTCGTGTCAATCAGGAGAGGAAAATGGCAGAGCAGAGGGATGATGGGTTACTGTCAGGGAGCCACAAGGAAGGGCTGAGCAAGGCAGGTGATGGTTTTAACTAAGAGAGGGTTGATTTAGGTGAGATGTAAGAAATTTGGGGTTTTTTTTACAATGTGTTGAAATGTTGGCACAGGTTGCCCAGAGAGGTGGTGGATGATCTATCCCTGGAAACTTTCAAGGTCAGGTTGGATGAGGCTCTGAGAAACATGATCTCTTGGAGATGACCCTGCAGGGGGGTTGCACCAGATGTCCCTTAAAGGTCTCTTCAAACCCGAAACAGTTCCATAGCAGAGGGCAGCACTAGGGTGGAATGGAGAGGGCACAAAGGATACTGGGAAAGGCTGGTCCATAAAGATGCTTTGCTGTGATTTGAGCAACTGTATTGCTGGAAGCTTCAGCCATCAGGCAAAACAAGAAAACCTCCAGAATGTGCAAGGAAATGTCATGATGGTGAGAGGGGCCCAGAGCCTGCAGTTGGTCATGGAATGGCTGTGGTGTGGGAGGTGACATCTCTGCTCTGGTCCCAGAGGAGATGTGCAGGGATCCCAGTCAGGCCTGAGTCTCTGCTGCCCATTTGGAACCCTGAAGGGTGTTGTGCTCTTTCTGCACTGTGCCTGCTGCAAGCCAGTGATGCTGCTTTGTGTTGTCACTGCAGGGATGGGACCCACCAACTCATGTCACCTGGGCCACTGAACAGCCACCAGGTGACACCGATTTTAATTTTTTTTTTTTTTTTTTAGTCAGCCAAAATCCCAGCTGAAGGGAGATCTGATCTGCTACTATGGCGGAAGGAACTTTATTTTTTAAAGCACTACTTTGGCCCCAGGAGACAAGTTACAACAATACTCAAAAGTCCATGAAGTTTTTTTCTGCCCTCCAAGCCAGGAGGACCAAAACTGTACCTGAACAGCCAGCCCACCCTGCGCTGTGTGCATCAAGCCTGGGTTATTTAAGAATCTATGGCTTTTCTGACAACAGCTGCAAGATTACATGAGCTGTGCTTGTCAGTTCAGCTCTATAGACAAAAATAGAGGTAAGGCATTAAAAAGAAATGCAGAACACTTTTGTGTGTACGTGTTCAACCTCCGCTGTTAATTCCGAGGGAGGCTCAGGCTGCGAGCAGATATGGGATCCCTGGTGAGAATCAAATTCCGGAGCCCAGAATTTTTTTTTTCTTTTTTTTTTTTTTTTTTTTTTTTTTTTTTTTTTTTTTTTTTTTTTTTTTTTTTTTTTTTTGTCGCAAAGTTTGTACGGTGGGGATTCCTCTAATTACTTTCAGTGGAAATTTACCTGACAGAGCTTTCCCAGGTAACGCGAGGCAGACGCGGGAGAGCCGCTCAGCCGCTGACAGAGCCTTTGATTTTGTGCCAGGTTGCAAATTAAGTCTTTTGCCAAGGTACCCGAACACTTGCTCGTCAATGGCTTATCGCTTATTCATGGCGCGCACCCAGCGCCGCGCGTTTCATCTGCTCGGGAAGGCGGCGCTGGTGACGAAAGTGGTGGCCAAAGTTGCTGCATTTTCTCCCCTCCCCCCCTGTTTGGTCAAGGAAAGGAGCCCCCTCAGTGTCTGTGCGAGCTGCAGTTCCCTAAGGAGCAAAGGAGAAGCCCTGGTGTGTCGGTGACTCGGTGCACGGAGGTGTTTTGACACGCGGGTGGGTTCTGTCCTTCAGCGCTGCTGTGGGAGGTGTGGATACCTGAATCCTTCTGGATTCACTTGATAGAGCCCTGGAAATCTATCCAGAGTGGCCAGCACTGCCATACTGGTTTGGGTAGTGGAGTGTGTTGACCTTGGCTGGACACCGAGTGCCCACCCAGCCCCTCGATCCCTCCCCTTCCCAGCCAAGCCGCACTGGGGAAACGAATTCCAGCTCAGCCAGACCCAATACAGGCACTGACTATCAAATGTGCAGATGGAGGTGGCTGAAGCCTCACCCCAGGCTGATACAGCCATGGCTGTGGGGATGCTGCATTTTGGCAGTAACATCCTTTCCAGTTTGGTTGACACCAAGGATGCTGTTCTGCCTGAGCCAGCGAGTGAGGAGTGACACAGGGATGGGACACACCCCATGAATGTGGGGAACAGGCGTATTTAAGGCTGAGAGAACTGGGAAAGAGAAAGCTTTGGGGTGACCTGATTGCAGCCTTCCAGTACCAGTAAGGGAAGTTGCAGGAAAGATGGGGCAAGACTGTTTACAGGACATGTAGTGACAGGACAAGGGGAAATGGGTTCAAATTTGAAAGAGTAGGTTTAGAGTAGATATGAGGAAAAAATTGTTTACTGTGAGGGTGGGGAGGCCCTGGCACAGGTTGCCCAGAGAAGCTGTGGATGCCCCATCCCTGGAAGTGTTCAAGGCCAGGTTGGAAGGGGTTTGGAGCAACCTGGGCTAGTGGAAGGTGCCCCTGCCCATGCTGGCAAAACCTGAGCCCAGGAATCATGTCACTGCAGGCAGAGCAAGGCAGAGGCTCTTTGCTTTGGGGCCTGACTGGGGAAGAGGAGGGCAGTAGAAGCATCTTGCTGAGAGTAGTAAGGAGTTAATTTGGTTGTTTTTTTTAGACAATATATATATATTAAAAAAACCCCACTACAATACTTTCCCTAATGAACTGCCCATCAGGAGATGACTGTGACTTGTCTGTCTTGGTGAGCTGGGGGGCCCAGGAGACCACAGGTTGTTCCTGCAGAGCGGAAGGGGAGTGATCACCCAGTGTGGGAGAGCCTGTGAATCACCTGGTTAGCTTAACAGTGTGGGCCATTATTCTAAAGCAGTGGGGCTGAAACCTAAATCCAATTGAAAATATAGTCAATTTGTCTGTACTTTACTGACTGAATGGCTATGTAATGCCATGCAGCTCTGGCAATGCAGGGAGCAAGCAGAGGCAATTAGTGGGGAGGGAAAAGCTCCTTTGTTTCGCTCTCTTCCACTTCCTGGGCAAGCTCTAGCAAGGACAGAGTCTTGGGCTGAGTAGAAAATCCAGTTTAAGAACGAGTAGTGACATCCATGCCCAGTTTCTGCAGCAATTTGTAAAGGGTCAGGATGGGAGTAGAAAAATCTTCCTTGTTGATTTTTCTGGATCCAAAGGAACAAAATCTCACATGGCATGACACCAGATGATGTGACAAGGAGGACAAGTGCCTTGAGAACATCACACTCCTGCACCTCACACCAGCCTCGGGTCACATGGAAATAAAGTTCCAAGTGGGGCTGTGCTCAGGGCAATGGAGTCTCTGAATATTCTTGTCCAGGGTTTGGAGTTTTTCCCTGGTCATGACAGTTTTCTGTGCTTGCCAGAGCAGGACAATGTCACTTCTATCCTTGGAAACATTCAAGGTTGGATGGGGCTCTGAGAAACATGATCTATTGAAGATGACCCTGCAGGGGGGTTCCTAACAAGCTTTCTGTAAAGTGATATCTTAGTGGTTGCTTTTCATACTCTTTTTGTACAGTAGGATGAGGGTGTTACATGGATTAAAGACTGTTTTGGTCTATTGTCACCTTTGTAAAGAAGGGACTCACTTTGACTACTGGAGTTCCTGGGTTTGGTTGAAGGGTTAGGACTGTCTGCTTTGAAGACCATTCTACCACCTTTGTAGAACCCACCTCTACAGTGGTAGTTAAATACCTGTTTGGAGGTCATTAAGTGTCTTTGAGAATCAACTTTCTCTGGGTTGTTGCTGCTTTTATATGGGGAAGCATTTATGGATGAATGAAGTTATTTTTCCATGGAGGAAACCACGCACTGAAAGTCAAGCGAGTAACAAAATTCCCTGATCCAAGTTCTGATGTGGGCTGTGCCTGTTAGATCTGCAGCTGGGGAAAGGCAAACCTTCCAGGCTAATGTAATGAGAAAGGAGGAATACAGAAAACCTGCAGATGCCTTCCAAAATGAGCTGTCCCTCCTCCCTGGATGCTGCTCCTGTGAAGACAGGGAAGAGGAGAGCAAGGAGAAAGGCAGCGAGAAGAAAAGAGCCCGAGGTTTGAGAGCTGTGGCTGTGGGAGGAACCCACCCAAGCACAGCCACGGATGAAACAAAAAGGCGAAGCACGAAGCAGAACACAGGCTGAAAAATGAACAGTGATGGAAAGGTCTGGGGTGAGAGGAGCTCTAAAGAGGAGGCTTGCCCCAGTATCTCGTGTGACTTCCACAATCTGTTTAACAGCGATCGGTCATGTTCTCTCCCTGACACTCGCCGCAGCAGCAGCTCTGAGCTGACAGGCAGTGGGGATAAATGATTACTGACATATGCTAATCGGACAGTCTGAGACAGGACAGAAGAGGAATACATCAAGGTGCTGCAAAACACATTTCTTGGGCAAAACTCCCCCAACTTGTACAAGTAAATCAGCTTCAGGAAGTCAGAAGGCTTCTCGGTCGTTTTAAAGCGCGGTTTAAAAATCGGCAGCGTGGCAAGAAAAAAAAAATAATCCCATCAGAGCAAGGGCTGGGGTGGAGAGCTCAGAGGTTCTTTGCAGTTGTATCTATCAATGCCAGGTATGATTTTGGGCATGTAAACTCCCTGCAGGGTTTCAGTGCTTTCATTTTCTGGTGTCTCCTTTCTATTCCACTTGCCCAGTTCTTTCCCCTTCCTTCCTAAAATGCCCCTTAGCTCTTCACTTGAAGTTTGCCTGTGATTTACACCACAAGTGAAGGTAACAGGACTCAAACAAGCACCCCAGAGCACAGCAGGTTGCACAGATGAATTCAGGGAGATGTTTAGATCCCAGTGCTGGAACAAGAAATCTTCACCTTGGCACTTATTTGGATCAATTAAAGGAAGTGTCATGCACATCTACAACCTGGCCAGACCCTTTGCTTAATCTCAGGATAAATATTGTCAATCAGGCAGTTTAGAGAGGTATCAAGAGTGCAGGTTTTCTGGAAAGCTCTCATTGTTGGGTGGGAAAGCCTCTTGAAACATCTGGTGTAGTTTGAATTAGTTGTGGTGAGAGCTGATGAAATGGCAGGGTAGCAAAATGCAGGTGTGACTGTCCTGCTTGTGTAGGGCTGTTGTGGGAACACCAGCAGAGAACAAAGACCACCCCTGTTCTACCAGTGATCTGTAAAAAGATGCTTCTCATCTCATCGTGTGTGAAAGTGCACACAAGTTAGAAAATAAGTTATCTGGACAACTGCTGCCTCTCTTCCAGGGCTTATGCCTGGCCAAAAAAATCAATCCCACTTGAAGTCCAAAGGGGGGCTGATGTTTGAACACATCTGGGACTATTTTAAGGTCTGGGTGTCAGCAAGCTCTGAGCTAAGAGCCTCACGGTGTCCTCTTGGGACATGTGGGTTGGAAGGTTTCCCTGAGCTCACTCAAGTGCTTGTAGAGCCCAGAAAAGTCACCTTTAGGCAGGGGGGGTGGGTCGTGGTGGGGTGTCCCAGTGTTCCATACCTTCTCAAAGCGGGCTGGGTGCCAGAAGGACTCCTCCTTGGGCGGGGGTTTGTGAGTGCGCAGGTACGTGGTGCGATTTCCACGCACCTGGTCCAGCTGAAACCAAAGGGAAACAACAACGAGCTCAAACAGCTGCACAGCCACAGCAGCAGCCTGGTGTCACCCAGTGCAGTGACACTGGGGTGGGCAAGGCTAAAAGTCACTTCGGCCTGGTGACCACAAGTGCCTGATCTGGGTGGTTTGTCGTGCCTGTGCAGCTGATCCTGGTAGTTCAAACATAATGATGGGGAAAACATGAGGAGCTGTCAACTCTCAGTGTCTGCTTTATGCAGCATCCCAGGGAGATGACCACTTCCTGCAGGAAGCCCCGTGCCCTGAGCTGCAGCAATGGCTCACCACCAGCTGGGGAAGTCACTGCCACCACCCCCACCACGGTGGGGTTTGCTGGCTGGCCTGGTGCGTGCTACTCTCTGATTAATTGCAGCTCACGGTGCTTGATAGTCCCAGCACAAGCCAGTGCAGGTACCAGGTGAATGTTTTGGTCACTGCATGAAACCCTGGGGAATCAGTCTGCTCTGTGCTCTAGGATGCAGGTTTGTGTCCCTTAGCTCAGTAATTGGTGGCTGCAGGCTTTGGGAACTTGATGGAGAGAACTTAGTGACTAAAAACATCAGTCATTAACAGATAAAGGAGGGATGCACTTTCCAACATCCCAGGCTGGTGTATTCATAAAGGAGCTGCTAATTAAGGACACTGTTTTCCTGCACTTCAACTATAAAGCATAGTTTGTGATGGCAGTAAGCCCATTGAAATTGGTCATTACCATATTAGCTTGACTCTTCTTTGAGCCATTAACTAATAAAACAGTCATTGGCTGCTTTTAAATGATATTACAATGTTGGTGTGTTTAACAACCCAGGATTACAACTCCCATGACTGCTGTGGGTGCTGCCATCAACCACACCATGCCAGGGGCAGGGCTGGCCCTTCCATCATCTACTGGCTGTCCCCTTGTTGTGGCCACTGTCCCAGGTAGCCTGAGCAGAGCTGACGCTGCCCAAAGGACAGCCCAAGGGGCTCCTGGCACAGGGATGTTCACTTTTGTCAGGCTTCATCAGCCTTTTAGTAGTCAGGGAGGATGTTTTCCCAGCTGAGGGCCCTCCCCATCCATGGAGGGGCAGGGCAGTGGGGGGTTCTGCCCAGTAGCAGTGCAGAGCACAGCAAGGGGAAGCATTGCTGGAGTATTATCACCTTTTTCTTTTCGATTATCTGGAGTCTTGTCCGGGCTCTCTGGCGCTCCATCCACATCTCCTTGTATCTGTGTTGGATGATGTCATAAATGGGAGTGGAAGGCCTGGAAAACACGGAAAAGACAACAATATAATCTCCAGGGGCAATGCCTCTCTTTACCTCCCCATTCTGGTTCACATCTCTGCTCCTGGAATGTGTGACTGCTGAGAACAGGAATGAAGCCTTGCACTTGCATTGCCACCCTGGAGCTCGGAGGAGCAGCTCTGGCTGGATCCCCTCCAGTGGAAAAACCACCGGGTGCAAAGTGTGTTTTGCTAAAATGACACTGCTTTTGCTATCACAATCTCTCTAATGTTTGCACTAAAGGCTGCAAACAGATGCGATGATGGATTGGGTGAGAGGAGTAAGTGCTGGCCTAAGCAATCTGAACAGGGATAAAAATGGACCCAATGCAGATGGTCAGGTGTCTGCAGCAGAAAGGAGAGCTGAAATGCTGAGCCCTGGTCTAGTTCCTGAGCTGCACAGACAGGGAGTGTGCAAGGAGCAAGGGGGAGACAGCAGTGGAGAGGAGCTGCAGATGATTGTGCTTCTAGAAAAACAGGAAAAAAAAGGCAGTAGCTTGTTGGCCAGCGTCCCATTCAGCTGCTCTGAGCTGGCATTAACCTGACCAGCTTGTGGCAGAGTTGCAGCCTGAAATTGTTGAGCCTTGCTCCTTGCAAGTGAGGATACTTTAACTTCATCAGCCAGCGTGGGAGGCAGAGCTGGCAGTGGCAGCAGCAGGACTCCCACCTTGAGGACAGCGAATCAGTTATTGCTGTGGCCCTGCTGTTCTTCTCTTCCCCCAGAAGAAAACACCTGAAGGTGATGGAGGAGTTGGATCTCGAGTTTTATTGGTCCTTGTCCTTGTACACCTTGCTGAGGAGGGACTTCTCTGATCTCAGCAGTGCTGATGACTGTGGAGCTCCCACCCGTGGCCTGCAGTGCCTTCAGCTGCAGCTCCCGTAACAGGGACGGTGCTTTCCCTGCCTCTCCGGACTAACTGCAAGGCCCTGGGGATTTGGGATAACTTCTGGGCTGCTTCTGGGCCACCAGCTCCACCAGAAGGTCTTTTTCTGCCAAGAGCTCATGCGCCACGGAGTGAGCTGGTGCTTTGTGGCTCTTGGCAGGAGTGGGTCCAAAATTGACAGCCGCCAGCTTTTAGCAGCCTGGAGAATCCTTGATGATCACAGAGGGCACCAGCAGCGCGTATGCAAATAGTAACTCTTCTGTTTCTTGTTTCTTCACCCCTGTGGTGACTTTTATTACTTAATTATTGCACACCACATGCTTCAAAACAGCCTAATCTATGGTCGTGTTTTCTAATGATACTAGATGTGCAATCCAGCGATATCCATCCCAAGGGGGCATTCATATCAGAGGAGACATCCTTCTGCAGACCTCCTGTTTCATAGATCACATGCTGCAGGGCTTTTCAAGCCTTTGCTTACAAATCAGCTCTGCTGCTCCAGTTATCTGGAGACTCCCGGTGCCGAAGGCGACGCTGACGTTTACCCTTTGTCCCCTCTTCTTCCCCCTCCTTCCCTTCCAGTTTGGCGCTTCACCCCGATCAGAGCTGGGCAAAACATTTAGAAAGGTTAAAAGACGTGGTGAACCTGTGGTCAAGTTGTCTTATTGCCTGTGTGGGGTCTCCAGTCTCACTGTGTGGTGTGAATGTTGGTATTCCTGACGCGTGGTGGGCGTTGCGCGTGAGCTTCTTTCCTCATGGCCCTTTTTGCTCTCCAAGGCAGGAGCCTTCCTGGGGTGCAGGAATAGCAGGGAGGGATGCAGGAAAGCACTGAGCCTTTGTAGTCTTTGATTATTGATTGTTGTGGAAGTTGAATGGGTTTTCACATCTCCATGGAGGTGACTTTTACCATCTCCAGTGGACCAGCCAGTTGGTGACTGATTAGTCCACAGCTGGCTTGTGAGTAAATGCTTGAAAGGACACATTTGGGTTGATGCTCTTCAGAGATCCTTCCCTGCCGTGTGATTAATCGCATTTAAGTCCTGATCCAGCAAAGTATAGAGCCCTGCCTGGAATGATACACGCATGGACTGCCTCTGAAATCGGTGGGAATGACTCGTGTGCTCAGTTAGCCACGTTAAGCTCTGCTGGGGCTGCAGGACACGAGGCTTCATCTGGCTTTTCCTGCCTCCTTTTGAGAGAAATACTGAGGGAGAGGGGGAAGAGCAGGGGATGGCAGGTAACACACTCTGACTGAGCTTTACTGGAGGAATTCCAGTGAGGCAGCTTTTCCTTTGTAGGGCAAACCCTGATCTCGTGGAGTGCACGGGGAGTTTGGCCCCGATATTGGTGACACTTGGCAGGGTGACAGTCCTTATCTGCAGCTTATTTGGCCTTTGGGAAAATGTCCCCTTGCCTCGGTGTTACTTAAGGACAGGAATGAACGGCCTGTGTGCTCCGTTTCCTTCTGTCACCCTGCCCAGACGTCACTCCTGAACTGGGAGGATTTTGCTGGGGGGAGAGCAGGGGAAGCATCCGCTGAAAATGCTTGTTGCAGATTAAAATCCATCTCATCCAGAGTAACTCAGATCTCCTTGTTTTGGCACAAGCACCCTGCCACAGAAAGGAAAGGCAAAGAAGTTCTGATAGGATGTAACAAATTATTTATAATTGTAGAAGAAAAAAAATCCTCGGCTGCTTCCTTTTATAGTCAAATAGTTGGAGCCACTTCTAATGTTGACATTTCCTAAATATTTTAAAATTTATCTGTGCACATTTTCAAAACTATTATCCCTGAAACAGTTGCTGTCTCTTTAATAGAATCTCTCTAATTTACTTTCAAGAGTCAGGGTACAGACCTATTTTCAACTGAAATGACAAGCACCTGCTAACTTGGTTATACAATGTGGAATGCCAGTCTGCCAGAAATCTCCTGGAAGAAGAAGCTGCAGCCTCCTAATAGGCTATTTTACTGTGAAAACAATGTTAAAAAGTATAATAAAGTATTAACAATATTAAAATAAAACAGTGTAGGCCTTAAATGAGCTACAAACTAGTTAAATCTATTCTATTCAATAGGAGCCTTCAGTGCTTTGCAGCTGATACCTCAGAGCTGGGATTTATCTAAAATGAAGGCACCAGGGACATGCAAGAGAAATGGTAATTATAATTTGCAAACATTAGGCTGACACTTTTCTGTGTATGTGTGTATAAATTCTGACAGCTGTGATTGGTGCCATGCCAAAAAGTGCTCCACCATCCTGGGAAGGGCTCACTTTCTGGCAGGCCATCCTCGGAGCGGCAGCTCATTAAAACTTTGGAGAAGGAGAAGTTGCCGAAAACAGGAAGGCGTCAGAACCATCTGAGGGATTTTTGGTACACGCTTGTTGAAAGGTGTTTGAGAAGAGAGCCTTGGGTCTGACAAACTGGAATTTTAGTACGCCTCTCCGTTCACAGTGGGGCAAAATAATTGGTCATCAGTGACTACTAATTTGGTTTAGTAGCCAGAGGCGTTTTTTTTCTTCCCAGAAAATCAATGACAGTGCCGAGGTCTGTTCAACGTGATTCAGCTCAAGACGGGTCCTCATTTAGCTCTTGATGCTTCTTCCACTGGAGACAGCTATTTTGTTAAAATGAAATTAAAATCTGTCTATAATGCTCGGCTCAGGGAGTAGCACCCGTCAATGCCATGCTGCTCTTGAGGTTTCAAGGTTGTCAGTCTCCCCTCAAACTTGTTTTCAAAGGTTTATATATCAACTGATAAAAAAAAAAAAAAAAGAAGGGTACTTGGCAAAAGCAGATACAAAGGACTTTGCTCGGGAAGGAGGTTTATACCAGCTTGAATGGCGCAATCAATTTGATTGTGAAGTTGTGCTGTAAAAGCGCAAAAAAAACACTTGATTTGCGACCGCTTCCTTCCCGTGTAACTCAAAATCAGAGGGGCTTGTAAACATTCCAGTGGAGACTCCAGCCCTGGGATTTTCTGGGTGGCTCTCCAGCCAGGGCAGGAGGCTCCTGCAGCGCTTTCCCCCCGCTGCTGGGGCGGGGAGCAGAGGACACGAGGACATGTGCGCAGGCAGCGGCTCCCCGGCGGCCGCGCAGCTGTTTGGGCTGTGCCGAAAAAAACACCGCTCCGATTTCAGCGGCAGCTTTCCAGGCTGCAGGATCTGGCCCTGCGAAGGTGCTTTATGCGACAGATAAATCGCATAATGGATGGATGGAATTTGTCTGCAAAGGTGGAGATGTTAAAACCGAGTTGCCGCACCGCTGCCTATCCCGAAACTTTAACCCCTTCTCGAAAGGTTAAGGGGGTTTTCAGGGGGGGTTTAGTCCTTGCTGGTGTCCTTCCATCTCAGAGGTGCTTTTGCTGCACAGCCAGGATGTGTCTTTGGGGTCTTCAGTCCCCAGGGGAGGCAGCTGCAGGGGCACCACGTTTTTATTCCTTTCTTGTGTAGCTCGTGCAGGGGAGGATTTGTCCTGTGATAGCAGTGTCCGTGTCGAGATCTCCCCGTGGCTCCTGGACAGGCCAGCAGAGGCAGTTCCCACCTGTCTTATGGAATCATTAGGGTTGGAAAAGGCCTCCAAGATCAAGTCTAACTAGTTTCTTATTGGGAAGCAGTTTGGTGTCCGGCATCTCTTGGACAGATTATCTACAGCAAATAAAGCACAACTGGGGGGTCTGCGACTCTGCTCAGGGCCTTGGGGTACTCACAAGGAGTGAGGCAGGAAGATTCTGCTTACAGCTCCCTTGTCCTGCGATATTGTCTCCCTTCCTCCCTCGTTGGGCTGGAGGTAGCAATCTATCTGCCACTAATTTGTCTCTGTGTAGCCCAGCAGGAAGCAGGGGTGTGATTACAGCTCCTGGCCCTTGTGCGAGAGCCGGCACGGCCCCGGCATCCCCCTGCAAAGTGCCTGGCTCTGCCTCGCCTTAATTGTTCCCCTTTGGCCGGTGGACCTGTCTCCTCTAACAAGGGCTGCGAGGAGGGAGGCGGTAATTGCAGCACTTAGCCACTCTCCCCAGCACTGCCTCCTGCAGCTAATTAGGAAACAGGGCCGCTGGGCTCTTCATTATTTCTTTTAATTGTTTGTGGGTTTTGCAT